TATAATATATATATATATAGTACATTTATACACATTTATTCATTTATTCAGGTGTATGTCCACCCCAATAGACTTTTATTGCTTTTATGCTAGACAAATAAGAGGGACGTTAGCCATTCTTTTTTTTTTCTTCTTTGGCGGTAATCCTCTTATTATGTTATTCTTCTGTCTCTGCCGTATAAAGCAGAGAAAATAAGATGCCCTAATTATGTTTTATTACCCTTATTGTTTCTTTTTATTTCTTTGCCTTTTTCCCCTTACTCTCTTTTTTTCTTGACTCTTTCTTTTCCCTGTTGTTTGCTGCACTCCTTTTACGTTATTTTTATACAAAGAGGGCAGAGGTCTTCCTAGGGTTTAGGGTTTAGTACTCACTGTATATATTATATAGATATAAATAGATGAATAGGTAAATAAATAAATAAATAAATATAAATTATATATAAATGATGGGGCTTTAGGTCCTTATCTACTATGGATCAGAGGATGACACTTCTTGCACCTATTTGTTTGTGCAATTGAACAGTTTACAATAAATATATATTAGGGCTTAGAAACCCTAATTTAGGGTTTAGGTTTTTCTTACGGAGTGTAAGAAGGTGCGGCGGAAGTTCGTGTCATACGCGTACACCTTAATCGACGCTGCTGCTATCTGCAGCAGCAGCAGCAATAACAGCAGCAGCAGCAGCAAAAATATATAACGGAATGCATGCAACAAATGAGGGAAAAAATCCCGTGTAGCATCTCTCTATACACCTCAACAACGCCTGTGCTGCTGTTACACCAATTGTTCCTTTGCTTCATTCGCAGTGTAACAGAGAAGAGGGATCAGACTACCAACAACCCTGGCTAGCTGTGGCTAGTCCTGGCTAGTTCGGGCTACCCAGTTCTATAGGCAATATGGGCTAGCTTCCCCCGATAGCCTCTGAGGGGGGAAACACTGTTAATTGAGTCTGTGAAGCCCTTTTTATTAACAACTTTTTTAATTATGACTTCTTTTAACACTAGAAGATCTTAGTTAGCGGATAGCCTTCTGCGGGTGTCCTGGCAGCGGTGTACATATACACTCGCAGCTAGTTGCTGCTGCCATAGGCAGTCTGCCTTCTTTACCCTCCTTTTTTTATAATTTGCTACAAAAATAATTTTTCTAATATTTCTTTTTACGCAACCACAAGAAAGCAATTGGCTGACAGTCTTATTGGGGCTGCATGCGTTTCCTAGGCATACGAGCTATAGGCCGAAGGCTGCAATGCAGAGGTAACTGAGTAAATAAAAATAAGTTAGAGAGAATTTATGACCATTGATTTAAATATATTCTCTATATTAATCTTTCTGTCAGCTGATTCCCCTCGTTTCCTGCTGCTGAGCTCGGGTGTACATTCACCTCACGTCGGTGGCAGGTTTCGTTGGATTGCGCCAGTGCTTCAAATACTTCTGTGGACAAAACATTATTTGAAAGTATTTCTTTCTCTGCGTCAGAAGTTATTTTTTCTCTTCTTTCCTTTAAGAGCGTCTTCATTGCCTCCGCTTTCTTGAGGATTCCCTGCCTTGCTTCCTCTTCTTCGTAGGCGGCCTCTTGTATCCTTAAGGTTAATTTCTGCATTTTTTTGCATTTTCTTTTTTTCTATGCTCTATAAGTTTCTCTGATTCTTTGAGCCTCTCCTTCTTCCATTGCTGCTGCTGCTGCATGCAGCTGTCGCTGCTGCTGCTGCTGCTGCATATATACCGCAATAAACTGCACAGCAGCACCGCATGATGCGTAAAAAAGAAAACGGCAGCGAGTGGAGAAAAGTCAGGAACCTTGAGTCCCTGGAGACGGAAAATGATTCTTATATCGAGGACCTCGAAGCAAGGGTACAGGGGCTCAAGGAGGTAAACTGCTGCTGCCGTTGCTGCTGCTGCTACTGTTGTAGCTTATGCTAGTGCTGCTTCTGCTGGATAGTACGGTGGTTATTATTGGTGTTCCTCTTCTTTAGGGGTATAGTGCTTCTTCTACTTTGTGCTGCGTGGCACATCCTAGTATCTGTTGCATTTGTTGTTGCTGCTGTTGCTGTTTGTACTGCTGCTGCTGCTGCTGCTGTTGCTGCTTGCTGCAGCGAGGGTTTGGCTAGATTTTTGTTGGTGTTTGCTTCAGCTTAGCCTGGCAATGCGAGAGGAGGTAAAAGCCTCCAATAACCTCATCGACTCGATGGTAAGCAGCAGCAGCAACGGGAGCAGGAGCATCAGCAAGAACAGCAGCAGCAGCAGTACTAATAGTAGTGACAGCAGCAGCAACATTCTCTCCTGCTCGTCTTCAGGCGGCAAGGGGCAGCGCTGCCTAAAAGACCCTGCCGATGCTCGGGGTATACAGGCAGCAGGCAGCAACTTGGTTGCCCTAGGGTTTAGGGTTTAGGGTTTAGGGTTTATGTGTATGTGGTGCAGATGGGGCGACTGGAAGGCGTGAGGGTTTCTGTGCGCAATTCAGTGCGGCGAATGGATCAAATGTTTAAATCAGGAGTAAGCTAGGGTTTAGGGTTTAGGGTTTACGTTGTCCGGGCTCTATTCAGCCTTTTGGGGGGTTTTGTTACCTATAGAAGCTGCCAGGTGTCAGGGTTTAGGGTTTAGGGTTTACGTTTTAGGGTTTAGGGTTTATGGTTTCTTTTCAGGGAGGATGGCACATGCTTCATCTGGCGGTGTTTGTTCTCTTTATCTTCTTGATTTTCTACTTCTTCTTCGCCAAGTGATGAAGCCCTAGGGTTTAGGGTTTAGGGTTTAGGGTTTAGGGTTTAGGGGTTCTGAACAAGCGAGGAGATGCCTGTTTGCCTGCTCGGGGTTTTCTGTCCAATTTGAGGGTTTGGTTGTGAGGGTTTAGGGTTTACAGGTTGGGGTCTAGGGTTTGGGCTTGAGGGTTTACGATTTGGAGACTACAAAGGCTGTGGGGTAGCAGCGGCCGCTACTCTTTGTTGCTGTTGCTGCTGCTGCTGCTGCTGCAGCAGCCTCACCAGCAGCCGCAGCAGCAGCCGCAGCAGCAGTTTTTTTTTTCTTTTAAAGAAGAATGTGGTTAGGGTTTTGTTATTTTAACAACAAAAACCTCCCTATACACCGCAAAACACTAAATTTGCTGTATGTTAGAGGCGAGGGTTTAGGGGCTGAAAGTACACAGCAACTGCTTTCGATTAGGGTTTAGGATTTAGGGTTTAGGGTTTAGGTTTCGGTAGAGGAGGATGTTTTCTGAGACTCGGGCACGTAGCAGCCCTTAGAGGGTTTCTTCTATACAGAAAGAAGCGCACCCTTCACCCTTAATTAGGGTTTAGCCAAACCCTAATTAAGGGTTTAGGAGGAAGACAAAGAGTGTTTAGCCATAGTAACATAAAGAAGGGATGAAGGCTGCCTCATGCGTGTATATGAACATAGACAGCTTCCTAACGTAGTAGGGAGAATCAATTATAAACCCTAAACCCTTAAACCCTCAAACACTAAACTGCTGTAAACCCTCATTAATCCTTGGCACACGCAAAACCCGAAGATGTTCACAAATTCCATCCTTTATGGTGGAAGTTTATCTGCGGTTTATCTATGGTTAGGGTTTAGGGTTTATCGTAAACCCTAAACCCTCGCACGAGTCACGCGGTGCCTAAAGGGGGAATATTCATAGTGTAGTGTGCGTCTTCTAATTGGCTTATATATACAGGAATATATATAAAATAAACCTTTAATGCTGCTTGCATGCAGCAACAGCAACAGCAACCGGACCTGCTGCTGTTGCTGCAGCTCCCGTTGCTGCTGCTGCTGCTGCTGTACGAGCGGTCGGAGGGAACTCGCGGTACTGCAGCAGCCTTAACTTATTGGATATGCCTATACACCTGAATAATATAAATGTATTTTATAGGGATTAACATAAGAAAAGAAATTTCTTTTTATTTTATGTGTGCTAAAGGTTTTATCCTCCTTCCTCTCGAGGAGGTTGTTGCTCCTGCTGCTGCCGTTGCTGCTGCTGCACCGGTGGCTCTCCGCTGTCTCTCCCATCTAGAGAGTGATCCACACCAGCAAAAGTAACTGCAGCAGTAGACACGGCACCAACAGCAGCAAGTGGGTCAATAAGCTAAAAATTGTCAGGCGTTGCTGCTGCAGAGGCCCCAACGGCCACGAAGATGTATCGCCGGCAGCAGCAGCAGCAACAACACCAACAGCAGCAAGAGTATCGGGAGCAGCAACTGCTGCCCTAGTCTTGGATGCAGCAGCAGAAGCAAGGCTTGCTGCAGTGTAATATAACAGGTAGCTGCAGCACCTGCAGCAGCAGGTGCAGCGGCAACAGCAACAGGTCTGTTACCATAGTATTGGCAGCAGGAACAGCAGCAGCGACCGCTGCTCCTGATGCAGCAGCAGCAGCAGTTGCAACAGCAACTGCTCCTCCTGTAGTTATAGACAAATCTGCTGCAGCGCCAGAGGCAAACAGCAGCAGCGTCGCTGTATTAGAAGGTCAGCAGCAGCAACTGCAGCGAAGATGGCAGCAGTTGCTGCTGCGCTGCTGCAGCCGCTGCAGCAGCAAGTGGTCGGGGCAATTTTGAAGGCCCTTAAAGATCGAATTGGATATTTCCTTGTCGCGGTAGACACACAGGCTAAAATGGGTAAACCCTAAACCCTAAACCCTAAACCCTAATAAACAGCGGCGGCATTTGCACGGGCCGATTCCTATGCCAATTGTAGCCCTAAGCCTTAAACCCTAGACATGAAACCTTTGAGGTCTACTGCGACGTAAACCCTAAACCCCAAACCCTAAACCCTAAACCCTGGTGGTGTGTCTTTGCAGAGGGTTTGTTGGACCGCTTGCACTTGGAAAACGTCGAAGTGGATGCTGCGCACTTGACAGAGGAGTTCCGCAGACACCAGGTAAACCATAAACCCTAAACCCTAAACCCTAAATGAGCATATTTACCGTAGAGACACGAGAAACCGGACCCTTTCCTGCTCTTGTTCTGCACACTTGCCTGCTTGCTTGTCCCGACCCTGTCTATGGTTCGTGTATAGGGGTTTAGTATTTAGGGTTTAGGGTTTAGGGTTTAGGGTCTACGGTTTGTGTACAGATCCCCTTAGAAGTAACAGGGGGAGGAATTGCCTTAGTTGATGCTCGTCTTTATTTAACGCATGCACGCCTTGACATCATTGCTGAGAGATGCGAGCTTAAGTTGGCCCCTAAGGACTTCGCTGCTGCTACTGTAAACCCTAAACCCTAAACCCTAAACCCTGGAGGCGCGACTGGGGAGCTGTGTTGTTCTTAGCCACCCACGGATCTCGCCTCCTGCAAACACTAACGAAACCCTACACGTTACGTGTAAGAGCCGTGTGTTGTTCTTCAAAATTGGAGGGAATGAGGGGTTAGGGTTTAGGGTTTAGGGTTTGCACAGTATGTGTTGGAACGACGCAGGAAGCGAACCTTGTTCAAGCGGCAGAACGACAGCTTAAGGAGGTTCGAACTCCAAACCCTAAACCCTAAACCCTTGACCCTAAACAATAACTCCTCTTCTGCATATGGGGTAATTAAGGGTTTACTATAAAGCCCGCATGTGGCATTGCTGTGGAGTAGCCTCCTCATATGACCAATTGAGGGTTTAGGGTTTAGGGTTTAGGGTTTAGGGTTTGTGTCTCAGGTGGACGCACACATCCGTCAGTTTTATGTCTTACAGAAGCAGCAAGACCTTCATTTACGTCTGCAGCGCCTCGGGCGAATATTAAAGGAAGACCTTAAGGATGAAGGAGCAAGGAGGGAGTTTGCTGCTGAGAGTAGAGAAGTGCTGCAGCAGCAACAAGCGGTAAACCCTAAACCCTAAACACGTTCCCAGTCAAGCTCTACACAGAGATATACGTATGAGGGTTACGCATGAACCCTCACGCTACGAAGAGGGTCGAGGGCTAAGGGTTTAGGGTTTAGGGTTTGTGTCTTCGCAGGCGGCGGCAGCAGAAGAAACCCCCATGCACTCCGTGCTTGAGTGGCTCTTGCGGTACTTACCGAATGTTAACATAAGGTGAATCAGGGTTCAGGGTTTAGGGTTTAGGGTTTTGACTTGCTCGCGTGTCAATTTTAAGGAGTGCTTCTTCTCTGTATATCGATTTTGGTTGATTGAGGGCGAGGGTTTAGCGCTTTGATTCTAGGGTTTAGGGTTTAGGGTTTAGGGTTTGTCTGCAGGCTTGAAGACGTTAAGATTTATTTAGATGATTCTTCTGGTTTCTTTGGTCTCCCTGCACGGGCAGTCCTGGGCATCAAGCGGATAATCTTCAAGGTAAAACCCTAATCCCTAAACCCTAAACCCTAAACCCTAACTCTTGAATATGATCTTAGGCAACAACACAGCACAGTACAATATATTTGAGCTCCAAGGCATCGGGCCATCTCTAGCGCAAACCCGTTCTTAAGTGTCCACATATGGATTAGGGTTTAGGGTTTAGGGTTTAGGGTTTGTTGGTTTGCTGCAGCCATCAGCATCAAAGGCGCCATGGGGGTTTACATGGAGTGGCGCTTCTTCCCTCTCTTTAGGCCCTCAGCTATCTGAGCCGGAGGTTAATGAGGCATTAGCTGTTGATATATCTATTAGGGAGCTGAGGCTCTCCCTCTGCAGCAGCAGCAGCAGCAGCAGCGGCAGGAGGAGGGGGAGCAGCAGCGAGAGCGAAGCGAAATGGGTTGACGTGCTGCGCACAGAGGAGCTGCAGCTGCATCTATTTGTGGAGCGGGAGTCAAACAGCAGTAGCAACAGCAGCAACAGCAACAGCAGCAGCAGCAACAGCAGCAGCAGCAGCAGCAGCAGCAGCAATGAACAAAGAGGTCCTCTTAGATGGCGTGCCTCCTTAAATATATTAGGAGAAGAAGAAATAAAAATAACTTTTGATTGTTTTTCTTTTTTTTATTTCTTTTGTCTTTTCTCTCATCTTCGTCGTATACAAGATCTTAAACTCCTCAGTGCATATAGACCAGCTGTAAACCCTAAACCCTAAACCCTAAACCCTTAAAAAACCCTAACGGATTCCCTTTGTGTTGGCTGCAACACGGCGAACTGTACCGTTGCCCACATGCACACAACCGGACTTGAGGGGTTAGGGTTTAGGATATAGGGCTGCGCGGGAAGAGGGTTTCTGTGTCCAAAGTTTTTTAGGGTTCAGGGTTTAGGGTTTAGAGCTGTTGTGCTCAGGGGAGACCTACCAAACACCCAAGAGAATGGTGGTTATATGCTAAGATGTACTTAAGGTTATTACAAAGAAGAAGAGGAGAAGACAACTTCTTAAAACAGACAGAAGAGAGAATGACACACATGAAAAGGTAGGGTTTAGGGTTTAGGGTTTAGGGTTTGCAGCGGAATTCTGAGCCGTGTTTTCCAGTGTGTTAGGATTCTTGTAGGGTTTAGGGTTTAGGGTTTATCGTTATGCACGTGTTTACAGGTTCATTCGGCTCATGAAAGTGCTGCTCTTGCAGCATCGAGAGCAGCAGCAGCAGCAGCCGCAGCAGCAGCAGCAACAGCAGCAGCAGCAAACTTTGCATGGAAATGGATATACAATTCCTCCGCTGGCAGAGTTGTTGCAGCCTGTGATATCTCGCTTCACCAAGCGCCAGCAGCAACAGCAGGAGCAGCAGCAACAGCAAGATGCAGATGACCTCTTTTTGCTGCTGCAGTTCGCCCGTCGTCCCTGTGAAGGCATTGGTCTGTGGGTATTAATAGCAGCAAAAGAAAACGCAACAGCAATAAGTATGTTAGAGCAACGAGGAGACAAAGACTTAGAGCAGCAGCAGCAGCAAGTGCGTTCGCTGCGGCAGCTGCGGCAGAAGCAAGCTGTGCTGCTGCAGCAGCTGCAGCAGTTCACCTCTCCTACGGGCGCCCCAGTTGTTACGGGACTGCAGCAGGAGCAGCAGATGCTGGTGCTACAGCAGCAGCAGCAGATCCAGATCGAGTTGCAGGCGAATGAAGAGCAGCAGCTGCTGCTGCAGCAGAAGCTGCAGCAAAGGATCAGTCCTGCTATTCATAATAAAGTTGTTTCTTTCTTTTGTACTCCTGCCGCTTTCTGTGATGAGGCTCGTGCTGCAGCAGTATCCCTTGAGAGAGGCAGAAGAGAGTTGCAGCAGCAGCTGTTGCTGCTGCAGCGGGATCCAAGCAGCAGCAGCAGCACGAGCAGTATGCGGTTACTTGAAGTGTATAAGCAGCAGCAGCGAGCTGCTGCAGCAGCATGCAGAGGACTAGAGAGTCATCGAGACACATGGCGGCTGTCTAGACACCGCATGCTGCTGTGGGCAGAGCTGCTGACACAATATGAAGCAGCATTTCCTGCTGCTGCTGCTGCTGCGCTGCTTAATGAGAGAGCTCTATCCGAGCTGCTGCAGCAGCACAGGAGGAGGCAGCTAGAGGAGGCATTTACTGAGGGGTTATTAAAGCCTAGCAACGCCTTAGAGCCAGTCTTTACGAGGAAGGCAGCTCGCATACCTGCTGCGGCTGCAGCTGCAGCAGCAGCAGCTGGAGGGGAAGCAGCAGCAGTGCCAGCGAGCGCTGAACCAGTAGTTGCTGCTGCTGCTGTTGCTGCAGCTGCTGCGGTAAAAACTCCACCAGAAGCAGTTCAAGCAGCAGCAGCAGCTGCTGCGGGGGCTGCAGCAGCGGCCGTAGGCACCAGCGGGAAACACCCTAAACATCAGCAGCAGCAGCAAAATCTGCTGACAGCAGCAGCAGCAGCAGCAGCAAAGATACCTTTGCTTCTGCAGACAATTGGTAAGACCTGCGATCTTCCCTTACCTCGGTTCCTCCATAGACAGAAGATAGGTCTGCTGCTGCGTGCAGTGACGCTGCGGCTTGCCCCTCTAGTCACAGCAGACACCTGGCAACAGCAGCAGCAGCAACAACAACAACAGCAGGAGCAGCAGTGGCTGCTGTTTGAAGCCCTGGATGCAGCAGCAGAAATGCAAGCACTAAATGGCGCATCTCTTCTTTGCTGCCTCCGCTGCTTTGAGTTGCACCTCTGCAGCGGACTGCTGCAGCTGCAGCGAATCAGCAGTAGCACCAGCAGCAGTATCAGCAGCAGCATCAGCAGCAGCGGCAGCAGAGGAAGTAGCAGCAGCAGAGGCAGCAACAGCAACTCGGGATGGCAATGCAAACTCGAGGAGAAGACACAAGTGCTGCTACTGCGAGTGGCACAAAACACTGCAGCAAATGCCAGCAGCAGCAGCCGTCGCCGCAGCAGCAGCGTCTGCAGCACGAGTGAGAATCCAGGACAGCAGCAGCAGCAGCAGCAACATCAGCATCAGCAGCAATTGGCTGTACCTGTTGTTGTTACTCACGGGGGCAGCAGCAGCCATTCTAATGGGACGCCCCAGCACGAGCATCGGCACAGCAGCAGCAGCTACAGCAGCAACAACAGCAGCAATGACGGCAGCAACAACAGCTACGGGAGAAGACAGAGCATCTGGCAGAATGCACTGGATGCCATCGGTGTTGCTGCTACTGCAGCAGCAGCAGCAGCAGCAGGTGCTGCTGCTGAGGCGGAGGCAGCAGCAACACGTTCTCACAGGAGCTCCCTAACGGAAGATCTTCCTAGCAGCAGTAGCAGCAGCAGCAGCGGCAGCGGCAGCAGATTGGGAGCAGCAAAAGCTTCCTTCCAAGAATCCGTGAGGGTAGGCATGCTGCTGCAGCAGCAGCTGCAGCGGCGCTTCTCGTTCCTGTTTGTACGCTTAACAGCCTTGTCGCTGCTGCAGCAGCAGCAGCTACAGCAGCAGCAGCAGCACCCGCTGCTCCGCATAGGAGTTCCGCTGTATCTACAGGCAACAGCAAAACTGCAGCACATATGGGGTTGTCTAAATACTACTGAGGTGCAGCTGCTGCAGCAACTGCTGCAGCAACTGCTGCTGACAGCAGCAGCTGCTGCTCTAGCTGGAGGAGGCGCAGCAGCATGGCCCCACAGCAGGTAAATTAAATGTTAAATTATTTATTTAATTACTGCAATTAAAGTCTTCTATTATACTATTTAATTAGCTTCTGCTGATGCTGTTGCTGCTGCTGCTGTTGCTTTGGCTGTTGTGGTGCAGCAGCAGCGACACTGTAGCCTTCTTCGCGAGCCTTCTTACCGCATACAGGAGGCACAACAACGAGCTGCAGCTGCAGCAGCAGCAGCACGAACAGCAGCAACAGCAGCAGCACAACCTCACATCCTATTACAGGACCCCGCATGCAGTGGATTTGTCATATGTTACAGGTATGCTACTGTTGTTGCTGCTGCAGCTGCTGCTGTTGTTCCTGCTGCAGCATTTCCCCCTGTTGCCGCTGCTATGTCGTTATGTGCTGCTTCTGCTTGGGCAGCTGCTGCAGATGCCACACCGTTGCAGCAGCTGCAGCAGCTGCTGCTGCTGGTACTACTACTTCTCCCCACCCATGTGTGACATGTCTGTGCTGCTGCTGTCGTTTTGCTGCTGCTGTCCTGTTGCTGCTGCAGAGCGCCTTGCTGCAGCATCTCAGGCAGCGGTTGCTAAGCAGCAAACGGCATGCAACCTGCTGCTGCCGGTGCCCCCTTCAAGGGGGCCTGAAGCAGCAACTGCTGCTGCTGCTGCTGCTGCTTCTCCTGATTGGCACAATCTGCTGTCTCTTGTTGCTTTGCGACTACGGGCTGTATTCCCGTCAGTGCAGATCTCCTTGCAGCAACCGCAGCAGCAGCAGCAGCACAGCAGCAGCGGCAGCAACGGCATAGAAAGTCAACACCAGCATGCCATCATTTCGGTGATACCTGAAGGCCAAGAAAGCAGCCACAGAGGTGCAGCAGCAGCACCAGTGCAGCCAGTACCACCAGGAGCACCAGCAGCAGCAGCAGCAGATCATGCAGGAGAGGAGATCCTCAGTGTGGCTATCAGGGAGCAAGAGTTTGGCTTGTCCCTCAGCAGCAGCAGCAGCAGCAGCATCAGCACGAAGCAACCTGTATTGAATGTCTCCTTGGGAAGTGTGTGTACAGCTGCTTGCCATTCACCATCTAGTTTGCTGCAGCAGCTGCCGCTGCTGCTGCAGTCGCTGCAGCGCCATTATGAGCAACTATACGCGCTGCTGCTGCTGATTCTACCCCACACATGGACATCGGTGAGTCCCTCAGAGTTGCTGCCACTGCTGCAGCAGCAGCTGCACCAGCAACTGCAGCAGCAGCAGGAGGAGGGAGCGCATGCAACAATCAGCAGCAAAGAGGAATCTGCTACCTGCTCTACGTCTTGGGCGCATGCGGTGTACGGGGTAGTCACAGATGCTGCACGACAGCAGCTCCTACTGCAGCAGCAGCTGAAGCAGCAACAGCAGGAACAACAGCAGCAACAACAACAGAAGCAGCAGCAGCAGCAGCAAGACACCATGTCTCGTCGTAGTGACGACGAGCTCGTGCTGCCTCTCTTCCGCGTTGCTTCTGAGGAATCAATGTATAATAAAAATCGTGCTGCTGCTGCTGCTAATAATAATAATTATAATTATAATTATAATAATAATTATAATTATAATAATAGTTATAATAATAAGTATAATAATACTGCTGCTGCTGCTGCATGGCAGCCTCCTTCCCTTACAGGGAGACCTGCAATGCGTGATCCTGCTGCTGCTGCTGCTGCTGCTGCTGCTGCGCCGACTGGGGCGCCGCTGCCTCCACGGAGAGCAGCAGCAGAAGCAGCAGAATCAAGGGCAGCAACAGCAGCAGCAGCAAATGCAGCAGCTGCGGCATTCGAGAAGAAGCCCCCGGAGAAAGCAGCATCTGCTGCAGCTCAACCCTCCAACCCCCCGGCAGCAGCTGCTGCAGCAGCAGCAGGTGATGCTGCTGCAGCGAAAGCAGCAGACGGAAGCAATGGTACTGCAGCTCCCTCTGCTAGGCATCCCACTACCGCAACACCTGCTGCAGCAAAGGATACTGCTGCTGCACATACTGCACCAGCTGCTGCTGCGCCTGCTGCTGCTGCTACTCGTAAGCCAGGAACAGAAGGACTAACTGAACCAGCAGCAGCAAGACGATCATCAGCAGCAGCAACAACAGCAGCAACAGATGAACCCATTGCTTTGCAACCAGCAGACACTCGAGCAGCAAAATTGGGCGGTGTATCTCAACGGCAGCCTGCTGCAGGACCAGCAGCAGCAGCCTCTGCAGCAGCAGCACAGCAGCAGGAGCAGCAACAGCAGAAGCAACAACTACCAACGACACAACACCAGCAGCCGCAGCAGCAACGACAACAGAATATCACACAGACGCCCCAGCAGAAACAACAGGCGCAGCAGGACCTGCAACAGAAGGAACAGCAGCAGCAACAACAACAACTGCAACAACAGCTGCAGCAGCAGCAGCAGCCGCCTTTGTTTGCACGTCGCGTATCTGCCTTTTCCTCGCGTAGGACCTCATTGACAGAGCCAGGGTCTGTTAAGGAAAAAGAGAGGAGACAGCAGCAGCAACAGGATCTGCAACAGCAGCACCAGCAGGAGAACCTCAAGGAGCAGGAGCATCAGCTGCTGCTGCAGCAGGAGCAGCAGCAAGCAGCAGATGAGCTCGGGACTCTGGGCCTAAGACGTGTTAAAGGGACAGATGCTTTTTGCCATTTCTATCAACACTAACAATGAAGCAAACGCATGCAGCAGCAGCAGCAGCAGGTGCAGCAGCAGCAAAAGTTGTCATTGCTGCTGCCGCTGCACTGTGCATGTGGTTTTCTTGCTAGCCAGATAGACGAGGCTGGCATTTAGGGTTTATGACTAGGGAAAGGGTTTAGTAAACCCTAATAGAGTTTGCAAAGATGTTTCTGGGTTTAGGGTTTAGGGTTTAGGGTTTAGGGTTTAGGGCGTAGGGTTTATTGTATCCTCTTGGGGGTTTTACGCTGTAGAATATTGTTTACTAATAGACAGAAAAAAAAGAAAAAAGTTGAAGCAGATGCTCGCAAGGGTTTAGGGTTTAGTTTTTAAGTAATTAGGGTTTAGGGTTTAGGGTTTAGCAGGACAGTAGCGCATAGACCGGTTGCAAGACACTGCCAACCAGGAACTCGAAACGGCGGAAGCAACAGCAGCAACAGCACCAGCAGCAGCAGCAGCAGCAACAACAACAGCAGCAAGAAGAAGCAACAGAAGGAATAGCATTTGTGCTCCTGCCAATGAGGCGATGAGTCTGTCATCACGGAGCCCAGCGAATGCAGCTAGCTACAGCTAGCTGCAGCTAGCTACAGCTAGCTAGCCACCTCCCCCTAGTTAGCCGCAGCTGCCCTTAGCTAGCTATAGACATTTTTCTAGCTATAGCTTGTTGACTAGCTACAACCATCTAGCTAATTGAAGCTACTTAGCTAGCTGCAACTGTGTAGCTAGCTGCACCTATTTGGCTAGCGCTGCACCTATTTGGCTAGCTACAGCTGACGAGCTAGCCAAATAGCCACAGCTAAGCATACACATGATCAGCTAGCTAGGTACACATATTTAGCTAGCTACACCTAACTGGTTAAGGCGTTGGTGGGGGTCCAACGGGCAACTGCTAGCACAGACATCTGCTGCTGCTGCTCTTGCTGCTGCTGCTGCTGCTAGTGTGTGCAAATCCTCGAGAAATTTCTGCTTCTGCTGCACCTGTTACTGCTAATATTAGTGTTACTACTCAAAAGAATTTTTGCTGCTGCTGCTGCTGATGGGGCTACACTGCATCTGCTTCTGCTGCTGTTGCTGCTGCTGCTCTTGCTCGTGCTGCTGGGGCGGCGGTCGGGTTACCGTTAGAGGCGATATTTATTTCATAGCTGTAAACCCTAAACCCCAAACCCTAAACCCTAATTTCAAGTAAATAAGAAGAGTTTTGGGTTTAGGGTTTAGGGTTTTTTTAGTTTCTGCTGCCAACAATCGAAAGCCCCAATAGGGGGGAACTACCCCACGGGCCCCCCCCTTGTTCTATCGATAGGGTTTAGGGTTTAGGGTTTAGGGTTTAGTGATTAGGGTTTAGTGTTTAGGGTTTAGGGTTATTTGAACCCATTATTTTAATGTTGGGTATTTGTCAACATAACAACATTTGCGGTGTATCGGCAGCTCTAATTTCATCCTTGCTGCCTTTCGTGCTGCTGCATGCAGCAGCAGCAGCAGCAGCAGCAAAAGTGTTAAGAACAAAGAAATCATAAGTTTCTGCTGCTTCTGCAGCAGCAGCAGCAGCAACATCTGCTGCAGCATCAAACTAACAGCATCATCTCCCGAAGCTGCCACAGCAGCAGCAGCAGCAGCAGGTCTCTACCTCTACCACTTCCTGTGGTAACACCACCAGCAGCAACACCTACACAACCAGCAGCAGCAGCAGCAACAACAACAACAACAACCAGCAGCAGCAGCAGCTGCTGCAGCAGTAAGATGCCATTTCATATACCTGAATCATCTCCTCTTCCTTCTCATTTGCTGCTCGGCCTTGAACCTCGCGGCCTTCGGGTGTCTAGGCAGAAGATTCTCTCCCTTAATCATCGTCTACCCAATAAGGAGCAGCAGCGGCAGCAGCAGCAGCAATATGACCATTATGTAGGTTGTGGCGTGTGCAGTGGCTGTAACAACTGCAGCAGAAGCTGCAGCAGCAGCAGCAGCAGCAGCAGCAGCAGCAAGGAAGTTGATAATATATATGAATTCCTTAACAACTTAAAGAGATTTCTTCCTATTGACTTCTTGCTGCTGCCGCTAGCAGACCCTAAAGGAAGTGTACTTGAATGTCTTGCTGCTGCTGCTGCTGCATCTCCTGCTGCTGCTGCTGCTACAGCAACAGTAGCAGCAGCACCAAAACAACTAGGGCCACCGCAACCATCAACTGCAGCAGCAGCAGCGGGAAAATGCAGCGAGTCTGCGATCGTGTCATCCACCGCTGCAGCAGCAACATCATCATCAGCATCCACAGCAGCAGCAGCAGCAGCAGCAGCAGCAGCAGCAGCAGGAATGGATGCAACAGTTGACCCTTGGTTATGGGGAGGCAGCAGCTGCTTCTCTTTATTTGTTCCTCTAGGCAAGAGCGATTTACATATAAAATGTGCTGAATGGAGCAGCACGGTGTTGGGGTGTACAGCTACATGGATACACCCGGACTGCAGCAGCAGCAGCAGCAGCAGCAGCAATTGGGATCCTATGCATCGATTAGAGAATAGTTGCTTACCTGAGAGACTGCAACGTATCTATGGATTCCTTAAGAGGAGACAGCTGCTGCAGAAGCAGCAGCAGCTGCAGCAGCAACTGCAGCAGCAGCAACAACAACAGGATAATGGTGATGTGAAGGATAAGCAGCAGCATCAGCAGCAACTGCAGCAGCAACTGCAGCAAGTGCAGCAGCAACTGCAGCAGCAGCAAATCCTTCCCATAGAAACAGCCCGTAAGCGTTCTATGCGTATATGTAGAGACAGTACAGCAGCAGCAGAGCGTTTCCTGCTGCAGCCTCCTCCTCCTCCTCCTCCTCAGGAGCAGCAACAACAACAGCAGCAGGAGCAGCATAAGAAGGATGAGGATAAGGAAGAAGAGGATCTGCTACTGCTAGCAGCAGCAGCAGCAGCATCTCCTTTCCTCAGCAGCAGCTACCATCTAAAGAATTTAAATTCAGAAATTTCTTTTGCTGCACATTTAAATCTCCAAGCAATTCTTCTTCCTCCTCCTATTACTAATAAACCTTTCTTACTAGCTAGGTACTCTTGCTGCTGCTGCTGCTGCTGCTGCTGCTGCTATTGGTGGTGGTGGTGGTGGTGGTGGTGGTGCTGTTGATTATGGTGATGCTGTTGGTGCTGTTTGTGTGCGTTGGTGTTCCTGCTGCTGTTGCTGCTGCTGCGTCCTCTACTGCGTATGGACTTTCTTGCTGCTGCTGCTGCTGCTTGTGTTGCTGCTGCTGCAGGACGATAAAGAGTTGGCTAACTCAGCTGCAGCCTCCTACTTTTTGGGTACGGTTGCCGCTGCAGTACAGCAAGCCAACAGCAGCAGCAGCAGCAACAGCAGCAGCAAGACGTGATGCCTTGGCTCTTGGCGCAAAGACACCAGAGGCAGCTGTTGCTGCTGCAGTGCTGCACGAGCTGCAGCAGCTAGATTTGTTGAACGGATCGCCGTACAGCGAGCCGCAGCAGGAGGAGGAGGAGGAGCAGGAAGAGCAGCAGCAGCAGAGAGAGGAGGAATTAGATCCTTGGCAGCAATGGTGCTTCCTGCAGCAGATATGTGGGGTGTCTGTACACCTCGGTGTTGCGCTGCAGCTAACAGAAGACATGCCATCAGAGCTCGTGCTGCAGCGGTGGCTAGCAGAGCCAATAAGGTGTCTCCTTATACCTACTAGCATCTTCTTGCAGCTGCAGCAGCTGCAGCAGCAGCACCAGCAGGTGACCTTGCTGCGGCAGCATCTACTCTTCGTGCTGCGCTGCGCTGAGCTGCGCGTGCGAATTGTCATAGTTGACGACAGAGAGGAGGACACAAACACAGCCGCAGCAGCAGCAGATGCTGCAGCAGCAGCAGCAGCAGAAGCAGCAGAGGCTGCTGCAACAGATGCAGCTGAAACAGACGCAGATGCAGCAGGCGCAGCTGCAACAGAAGCTGCTGCAGCAGACACAGCTGCAGCAGACTCCCCTGCAGTAGATTCAGATGCAGCAAACGAAATACAAAGCGAAGAAGAAAACCCGAGCAGCAGCAGCAGCAGCAGCATCTTGTGCACAACCAGCAGCAGCAGCAGCAGCAGCAGGGTTCGTAGATGTATATATAGGGATATAGATATACATATAAGATATTTAGAGAATATAATGAAGGGTTTACCTCCTTTATCTGCTGCTGCTCTCTTCTGTCGCTCTCATGAGAATTTGCTGCAGCTACCAATGCAACCTCTTGCTGAAGATCTTAATGCATGCAGCTATGAAGTAAACCCTAAACCCTAAACCCTAATTTTCAAACCCTAAACCCTAATTTTCAAACCCTAAACCCTAAACCCTAGGGAATACAGGCAGACATGGGATATAAGATATGTCCACTTGTTTGGCGTTTTTGTAGTCCTCACGCCTAAGATCAACACGCCTAAACCCTAAACCCTAAACCCTAATTTTTTGCGTGCATGCAGGTGTTTGAACGAGACGCCATAAAGTACAGATTATATCGTGACGCTATCATCCTTAGATTGCGTGACCTGCTAGGTCTTGATGACGAGGAGCAGCAGCAGCAGCAGCAGCAGCGTGCTGTATCTTTAGGCAAACGCAGGAGATACATGCGGGGTTCCGATGGCAGCAGCAGCACCGGCAGCAGCAGCAATAGGTATAGCGGCAGCCTGAGCCGAAGCAGCGACAGCAGCGGTAGCAGCAGCGACGATGACTATGAGGAGCAGCAGCAGCAACAGCAGCAGCAGCGGCGAAGAAGAGATTTCTATGGCAGCACAACAGCATTAAATAACCCTAACTGTCTCCATATATCAGAAGCAAATTTCCCTTTGCTGCTGCAGCACATGTCGGAGAAAGGCAGCATCAGCAGCAGTAGCAACAACAACAACAGCAGCAGCAGCAACAACAACAAGAACAACAACAACAACAGCAACCGTGGCAGGAAAAACAGACGTCGAG